TGAATGCTGAGTTGGGGGAGGGGTTGCTCCCTGTGGCTGAAGAGAGTCAGGTTGAGAAGTGGTGCTAAAGAGCATCCTAGGGCACGCTTGGAATCTCCCCAGAGGCAGAACCTAGGTCTCTTTCTCTCTTTCTCAGCTAAATCTCATCCTGGCCACCTTTACAAACAGCCCTTTTGTGCCTGGCAGGGCCTCGGGGAGGGCAGGCAATGGGACTGGAGTAGATTCCATCCCTTCAGCCTCCAGGGCTTAGCCCCCCTCCCCAGGAAAAGTAAAGCAGAGCAGATCTACATTCCAGGCCAGGCCAGCGGAAGAGAAGCGTCCTGAGCAGCTGGAGCATGATCAGTTACCAAGTTAATCACTCGGTTAAGTGCCAGAGAGCTGGGAGGAGGGCAGGGAGGGAGGATGCTGCTCACCAGGGGCAAGGCCCAGCCAGGGGTAGGGTGGGGTGTAGCCCTGGCCCAGGCGTGGGGCAGGAGGGCAGAGGCAGGAGACTGGTTGGCTGCAGTCTGAGCAGGTTCCTTGGGCAGGATGGGAAGCAGCAGACTGAGGGCCTGGGAGGCCAGAGAACAGGAGGCCTGTACCAGCTCCAAAGGCCGGGACATCTGCGCTCTCTACACTCTCCCAGGCCAGACCCCAGGGGCAGCTGGGTGTAAAAGAAGCTGAGGGCACTGGCTGGGCCTCAGCCTGGATGTCAGTGGGAGACACCGGGGAAACCCCAGCAGGTGGGCACATTCGTCCACATTTCCATCCAGGAAGGCAGGAGCTGGACTCCTGGTGTGAGAGATTGGGAGACTGGGTGCTCCTCAACAGTGATCTGTGGGCCCTTGGCAGCCCCAGGTAGGAGATGCTGGCACCCAGTGATCGCTTATCAGAACAGAGGGCTGGCAGGCAACACCGTTGGTCCTCCCATTCAACCCCACGCATGTACACCTGGAGGATATAGGGTGAGGATCCAGGGTGCCACAGAGCCTCAGAGCTGACCCAGTCCTAGCCCTGGCCTTGGAAAGCTGGACTGAATCTGCAGCCCTTTCCCTGAGATGCCTGGGTGTAGGGGGTCTAGAGACTTGCCCAGCCTCCTGCCAGGCTAGAGGGAGGTCAGAGACCAGGAAGGTAGGGGCTTGGAGAAGTTTGGGCCACCCTGGTGGGTGCAGGCGGTGTTACTGTCCTGAGAGACTCCATGTCAAGGCCTGCCCAGGCCACATGAACTGTGAGACCTGGGCCCAGGCTGTACCAGGTTCAAACTCCGGCCCTGATGTGCCCTTCACCGGCTGTACACGGAGCCCTGGGCTGCTTTCCCCTGGCTCTTCAGTCTCAAGGTCCTTACTTATGAATTGAGAGTGAGACAGCCCAACTTCCCTAGCCACTGTGGGCATCAGAAATGTGGGTCCTGAGCTGAGAGACACTCTGGGCCTTCCTCCCTCCCCTGACACCCAGCCCACACAGGAATCCCAGGCCTACCACATGTGTGGGTCCAACCAGGCACCCAGAGAGTCATCTTTCAAGTCGAACCCTGAGAGAGAAGGGGGCCCTTCAAAGCTGAGGGGAAATCTGAGAAGCAGGGCCTCCTCCCCTGCCCAGGGTGGAAGGTCTCTGACACAGATCGCACTTGCCGGGACAGGGGCTGGGAAAAGAAAACCCTTCCCAGACAGGTCTCAGCCCCACCTACCCCTCTGCCTGCCACACAGACCCCCTCCTGGGCTGAGGGCTCTAGACCTGGGGTTTTCTCTGTGATGGAGGAGACTACCCCTACTTCTTATTCCTCCCCCTGCATGCTTGCTGACCTTCCTCTAGCTCCTGCAGGTGTGTGTGTGTATGCGGGGGGGTCTGCCCCCTGGGGGGAACAGACACCTACCCTGATCTTCCACTTGCAGAATGAAAGCACCCAGAGGGAGGGGTGGGGGATGGGTACCACTACCTCTCTGAGGTAGGGGTGAGAGAGGTGCCAAGGGCAGACCCAAGCCCAGGTGGGACGGCATCCTGGTCTCACCTGCTGTGCCCCACCTAAGGGGTCTCCATGTTCTCCCCTTCCCCTCCTCCTCTTCTGCACCTGATGCTCACACAATTCTTGTTCATTTCTCAGCATCTCTGGCCTTTCAAGAGTGTCCTCTGTATGACCATAGATGCCCCTGCCTGCAGCTACCCTCTATCCTGAGCCCTCAGAGGCCAGGCAGGATGGGGATGCCAGACCAGCGGCTCCTGGGGTTCCCTCAGATATCCTCAGCCAAGGCCCTCAGACTGACCTGCTGCAGGTGCAGCTGGATGGAATAGGGTGGAGGTGTCTGCCCTCAGCCTCTGAACACCCCCCAGGCATACCTGGCCCCTGTCCCTGCTTTCTTTTTCATATAGATGCAGATATAAAGATATAGACATATAGTGTCTGTTACATGTGTATAACACACATACGCACACACGCACAGACACACACACTCATCCTTTTTTTGTATTTGACATATGTCTCCTCCCATCTTGAATGGAGATGCAGAGACTAGGTTGGTTCACTGACTGGACCATGGTGCTGTGCCCACGGTGGGACTCAGTGATGTTCCTGGAAGGAATCCATAGCAAGATTCAGACTGCTCTACTGGGGTCTCTGGGCTCGCCCCCACAAGAACTTTCCTTTACATTCTGAAGGCATCCCTGGCATCTGCCTGCAGCCAGGCAATGGAATTATTGTATTCACTTTGGCTTGAAGGTGACACTTCACTTTATTAAACAAGAAGATGGCCTCCTCTGAAGGCACCCATCCACATCTACCCTGACACCACCCACTGCAAACTGCCACAGCTTCTGCCCTGAAGCCTGGGTCGCTGTTTATCAGGAGGGGTTTCGCTTATCCCTGTGTGTGTGTCGCGCAGGGGCATTTCCCAAGGGCTCCCTTTAACGGTCATTTCAGGAGCAGTAATGGCAGCAGCTCTATGTCACTCTGTCGGCCTGGCTGAGGGCAGTGAGGAGAGTCCTGGTCGGCTCGCCAGGCCCACAGTTACAAGGAGGACATGTCAACCGGAACATTTCACCCCAATATTTATGGATCCCACACTCCATGGAAGAACTGGGAACTTGCAGGGCATTTGGTTTTCCTCCAGGACTGGGAAAGAAAGCTAGAAAACAGAAGGCAGGTGGAAGGGAAGAGGAGGTGACTGTGAGAGGGCAAGGGATGAGGAAGTGGCTCCCATCACCCACAGAGAGCTGCCCTGTGTCCATCACCTAACCAAGCCCATCCTCTGGGAAAGGGGCATGGGACAGGCAGTGGGACAGAATAGGGACAGGAGTCCTCCTGGAGCCCCATCCCCAGCCCTTACTCTGCAGGCCCCAATTTTTTAGGGTGCTCCAGACATTGGGTCTTCTGCAGCTCCCATATTCTTGGGCTGAGGGGCTACCCAACAGGATGGGAGCACACAGCCCACCCACTCCTTCTCCTCTCCCTCCATGGCCCTCAGAAATCCTTCTGCCAGTCTGCTGAGGGAAGGAGACCTCTCCCCAAGACCAAGGTTGTCACTGACAGGCTCTGCTGTCTAACCCCAGTGTGGGTGGCCTGTGGAGTGCTTACCCAAGGGCCTGTCCCACAGCCCCCACCTCCAGCCCAGCTCTCCACCATGCAACTGAGGGGTTCACCCCCTCCTTGTTTCCATTTATGCTAGCCTGAAGGCTCAGCTCTCTAGGGGAGGGTCTGGATGTCACTTAGAGTCCTGGTTTGTGGAACTTTCAATGCTAAAATTGGGCAGTTGTGAGAAAACCAGGACAATTGGCCACCCTAGTGTCATTCTCCTCCAAACCCTTCTGAACCCTGCAGGTGGATTCCACACACATAATCCTTACGGCTCTCCACCCCCCTCCATCCCCTGCACCCTTGTGCCTTTGGAAAGACCACATTATTTTATTCCCTTTTGTGTTTCAGACCCAGCTCCTTTGGGCCCTGAGGTGGCACACCTCCCCTGGGCCCTTGGGGCTCAAGCCCCCTCCCTCTTCTGGTTCCACAAGGTCCTGTCCACTTGACCTTTTCACCCAAGGGGATGGCAGGCATTGTGACCCCATTCCACAGCTGAGACACAAGGCCCCAGAGCAGCCTTGATCCTAGGGCCAGAGGCATTTCATTAGAAAGATCAAGGAAAACCAACTGGGCTGCCATCTCATAGCTGGGATCCTAGCTACTATCCCCCGGCCCCCCACAGCCCCTCACTCATTCTGCTCCTCCTGGGGTTTCACACCCCGAGCGTCACAGGCTCACACTCTCTTCCTGTAAACATCTTAGTTACATCTTTAATGCTTTCACATGGAGATGCTGTGAGTTAAATTACAGCTTCTGTGCATTCTAAATTACCACCGGCCCTCCAGTCAGCTCAAGTGCTAATGTATTTATAGCAACTAGAGGAAGGAATAAATCCAGAATCTTCCCCATGCAGGCCTCCTAGGCCCTCACATCCTGACACGTGGTATTTGCCCAACAGAAGATTTGTACGTGCTGCCCTCGCATCCCCTCCAACCAGCAGAGGACAGAGATGGTGGTGAAACTGGGCACGGGGCCATGCTTCTGTGCATGCTTATGTGCGCATGCATGCCCAGTGTAGAAAAAGTGCCCAGCTCTTGGGGTTTGGCTTGGCCCAATGCCTTGCAGATGCCCCAGACTGGTATAAGAATTCCAGAGGGGTATGGTATAGGTGGACAATGGGTGGGTGGGCTATGTGATCAAAAAACAGACTAGGTTACTTAGGTCTGTTTCCCAAGGGGTCATCCCCACCCCGTTTCAGGAAGTCAGAACATCCCCTGCTGGCCCGCAGCCTGTGACCACTGCTCTTGGACCAATAGCTTCTCCCCCAACCCCAGATCCCCAGTATACACCAAGACAGGGAACTGTTTTCAGAAGCAAGTTTTTAGAGCCCAGAACCTGGTTTCAGAACCTGGCTTTTAGAGCCCAGAGGAGAGATGCAGTGGGCAGCAGAACCCTCACCTTTGCATCCCTCTCCCTTCAGTCCCTGAACATTGAGGGCAGAGAAGGTGGCCTACCACAATGCTCCTCCACACACCACGGGGTGGGGGTTGACTTGGAGGGTGAAGCCAAAGCAGAATCTCCATCCTGCCCGCTGTGCTGGGACAGGCACACGTCTGCACATGGGCACATTCATGCATATGCATGAGGCCTTTCAGCAGGTCTGGGCACTGCAGCCCTCCACACTGGTTCCCCTACTTTGCCCTCAGCTCCCATCCTAGCTTGGGCCAAGCCAACAACTGGCTGCCAGGGAGGGGTGGCTGGGAGACCTCATGGACCCTCTGTAATATGGATGGACCTTGGGTACAAGCAGCTCTCCTTCTGGCATCCTTGCCCACTGGGCAGTTTCAGCTCCACCCCTGGGCCTCTCCCAGGGTGCCATGACACCCTGTCCCCAAGACCTGGGTGGTTCCTCTTCCCAACCCAGAGGAGGCTCCAGACTTCAAAGACAGGTCTCTCCCTGACAGAGGGGGACCCTTCCTACTCTCCCCACATTTCCTCCACATTAGAGGAGCAGACCCTGATATGAGGGGTCTGGGCAGGACACAAGGAAGCCAGCAGTGGCTCTCAACCTTCCTGACAGGAGGGATGCCCTCCATGCCAGGGCCCTCAGATCAGGGGTCATCAGTGGCCAGATGCCCAGCCTCTCTTAGAGCCTGGAGAGTGAGCAGGTGGGTCCTCGGAACAGCTGGGGCCTCAGCAGGGCAGGTCCTGAGAGTAGGTCTTAACAATCGCGGAGTGGGCAGCTCTGTGGGCACTGTGGCAGGTGTCTTCATCAGAGGTCCAGGCCTGTTCCTGGGCCAATCACGCATGGATGGCATTGGCTACGTCAGTGAACACCAGCCGGGTGGGCCTCTGCAGTGGGCCTTGAGAGGGGAGAGTGGTCTGCAGAGAGACAGTCAGGGGCTTCAGGGACTTTGACCAAGGCCATGCACTCCCTGGCCCAGTAACCTCCACCCTTGCTTCCCGGTGCCTGCTTGCACTTGGCACCAACTATGCCTTCTCCCTGGAATGCCCTCCCTGCAAGCTCAGCCTAGAACTATGACCTGGCCCCCCGTGGCTCCTCCTCCACCAGCCATCCCGGCTTCCACCTTAGGCAGCTGCAGTACTTACCCTGTGGGCCCAGGGGCTGGATTAATTATGCATGCACCACTCTCTCCCAGCAGAGGAGGGCTCACCTCTGCACCCCCAAGCCCCAGCACAGGGCTGGCACAAGAGAGGTACACAGGAAACTACTATCAAATGGTCAGTAGTCCCATGGGCTGGGAGGACCAAAGTTCTCAGCCCGATTTCCTGAATATCCCAAGGGGGAAACGTGTCCTGATCCAAGTGACACAGAACTTGGTGGCAAAACCAGGGGGTCTCCAGATTCCCAGCCTGGACTCTTTCTGAATCCAGTCTCCCAATTCTGCCTCTGTTAGGTCCGGACCCCCCAACAACCTGTGGGGTCAGGGCAAAAAGGGATGCAAAGGGGTTTCATGGGTCGGGGGAGACCAGACCTCCTCATGGTGCTGGCCATTGAGGATAATGGGGACTGGTGGCAAGTGGCCAGGCAGCCCAGTGGCTCTGGCAAGATGACCACCCAGCTACGTGACCCTTTGGACATAGGAGGCGAGTTTGGCTGGGGTCTCCACCTGCCAGGGGGTCTGTCAGTTACTAGAAACCCACCAGTCCACTTGGAGGTGCCACTGCCCCACAGTCAGACCCCAACCTCAACCCATTCAGGACCATGGACCCTCAGGCAGCAGAGGAATCCAGGGTCTCAGCCCCCAACAATCTCTCCCATCAGTCCTCTTCTGCTTTCCTAGCCAGTATGTGGGGGCACACAGGGAAAGAATTAGGATTTTCATTTGCAGATGAGAAGACTGAGGCTCAGAGAGGCCAATGGGGCTCCCAAGATCACCAGGCTCTCAGGGCAGAGCCAGGCCGGACCACAGGGCTGCCCCGGCCTAGCCTTGCGCAGTGAGTCTGCAGGTGGCCATGGAGCAATTCTACCAATTTCTAAACAAACCTGACAAAACCCATATATACCCGACAGCTGCGGCCAGACCACATGGCAGCTGCTGCAAAGCTGCATGAGAAAGGAGGGAGGGTGTGGGTGGGAGAGTCATGAGCAGGCTGCAGGCTAGGTGGGGAGCCTGGTCATGCCCACCTTGCCCTGCGTGGCCTGCGCGGAGGCGGCAGCCTGCACAGAGGCAGCATCCCGCCCGTGCTCCAGCAGCTCTTGTTCCAGTTCATCTTGTTCCTCCGTGGGGTCGAAGTTGTACATGGGCATGAGCTGGTGGCGTAGCTTCTCCAGCCTGGGGGTGGGGGCAGAGGCTGCTGGGGGCAGGGAAGGCCCTTCCCCTCCCACCAGCCCTGCAGGCCCTGCCTGCTGACCAGCTGAGCCACAGCACACAACCATGTTTGGGGTCCTAAAATTTCCCCTGGGATTCATTAAAAGACATTTTTGTACCCATAGTACCAGCTCAACCCCTCAGATGGGTGGCCTGGGAGGGATAGTTACCCATTCCTGGGACCAGATAAGCCATGGGCCACAGGGCTGTCATCTGTGGGGCGCATGGGGACTGCCTAGGCCATGGCCCTGCGTGGTCCACAGCCTCCAGGGGGCCAGGGCGGGGGGAGGGGAGTCAGTGACAGTTACCTCAAGGCAATGGGGCAAGGGTGGCTCAGCCCTCCCCGAGGGAAAGTGGTCACCCCCAACCCCTGACTTCCTGACCAGGGAGGGGGCCCTGATGGTGCGGGACTGTCCTTTCCCACTCGCATCCCCGGGAGTCCAGCCCAGCACTGCCCACGGGCTGGTGTTTGGGGTGGCAGCTGGGGAGTTACCTCTTCTTCTTCCTGATGTACAAAACCTGCAAGAGAAGGAGCAGTGTCAAATGGCCAGGAAAGGAGGCCCTGATTAACACAGCAGTCCCTTGGGATAGAGGGCATGCTGAGGCTAATGAAGGGGAGACCTGTGGCTTCCCATGTCCTCAGGGACCCCATCCCAGGGACGCATACATCCTGCGTTTGTGCCTCCGTTTGATGTTTATTAGATACTGATGGTGCCCAGACTCAGAGGTGGGGAGCAGGCCTGCCCTTGAGGAGCCCAGCCTGGGAAGACCACAGGGTCAGGCCTGGCCTGTGGGCTGGTGAGCCCCACCTCTGCCAATACTGCCTGTGGCCCCAGGAACTCAGCACCTGCCTGGGACTCCTCGGGGCTGAAGGGAGAGGGGAAGTCTTCAGCACACCCTCTCCTCTCAACTCTCCCCAGGCCCAAAGCCATGTATGGGCAAAAAGAACAGGGACAGGCAGTGGCCAGACTCTGCAGGGCAGTGGCTCTAGGCCAGGCTCTGGGCTGGGTTCCTGGGGTTTCCACGGGATGCTGATGGCCCTCAGTGGACAGGGGCTGGGGAGGAAGGCCTGAGCCCCTGGACATCAGCCCAGACAAAACTCCAGAACCCTGGTGCTGGAGGAACCTAGGAAGGTCCTAACCTCCATTGTACAGACTTGAAGATAAAGGCCTAGGCAGCCTGAGATACATCTAAAACCCAAGAGCTCCAGGCTGGAGCAGGAAATCCGGATACAAAGCACAGAGGGGAGAGAGGAAGAGGGTGAGACTCAGGTGACCACCTGGCAGGAACTCTAGGGACCTCTGCCACCAACTCACTCTTCCCTAAAATGGCAGTTTCTCACTACCACGAGCATGACCCCTTCTGCCTGGGGGAAAGCCATGTCCCTAGAGTCTGTCCCAAACTGTCTGTGGCTCCCACACCCTTTGAGGCCCATCCACAGCTTGAATTTGGTTTGGTTTCCATCCTGGCTCAGAGCTCCTTCTACTGCTCGCTCCTGAGGGACCCCAAAGCCCCGGAAAGAAAATGAGGCACCCCTTGCTCCCCCATCCCCTCCAGGGGGTGACACGTGGGCAGTGCTCCTTGTTCTCCTATGGGTGCAAACCACAGGAGCTCCAGGTCTCTGGCCCAGCCCCGACCCACCCTGAATCAGTGGCTCCAGCCCAGTACCCTGTACTCCTTTGCCTCTCAGCCCTGCCCCAAACACTCCTCCCTGCCCTTGGCCCTGTGGTACAGAAGGATCTTCAAGAGAGGCCAGAGCCTGTATCCAAGCTCCACACCTTGCCCTTGCTGTCCCTTCTGCCCCAACTATTTACACCTCCCCCTAACCATACCTTCCTTTTCAAATCTTCCCCACCTCTCACTGTCCAGCTGCAGCCCCATCTCCTCCAGGAAGCCCTCCACTGCTCCTCCTGTGTGAGGCACACAGCTGGGCACTGATTTTACTTCCTTGTACCCAGCATGGCCTGGCTCAGGGTTGGCATGAGGCGAGAGGAAGCAGCACTCGGAAAACATCTCTGGACCTGTCCTCTGGTGCCCAGGAGCTCTTTCCTGCCCTCCACTGTCTTTGCCCCATTAACTCCCTGCCTCTCCTTTTTTGGCAAGAAGACCATTCACCCTGGCCCTTCAAATGTTCCTCCAGAACAAAGACTAAGGGAGTCCTCCCAAGTTCCTGGGACATAATCTTTTGCTAAGAGTTACAAGGGCAGATTCTAGGCCCTACTTTGAGCCTGAGGTTAGGGTGTCTCAGTCTGCTTAACTGCTGCACGGGTGCCAAGGGGAAACACTGGCGTTCTGCCTTGCCCCCCCATAGGAGACTGCTCAGGCCCCGGCCTCACTCTGCATGTTGCGTCTTGACCCTGCCTGCTGACCAGCAGTTGTTCCCTGGCAGTGATCCGGAACCTGCAGGGCCCATATGGTGACCCCGGTTTAACAACAGCTCCAGCCAGGCCATGGAGGGACCATCCATACTCCTATCTGTCAGAGCAACATGCTCCTGAACCTAAGGCCAGCCATCAGAGCCTGTGAGGAGCAGTGGGCAGGATGCCACCATTGCCAGGCCCACTGGGGGACCTCAGGCACACCCCTACCCTTCCTGATCTCAGCCTGCATGATCTCCAATGGTCCCTCAGTGACATTTTGAGTGTCCATGTATGATCTTAGGGGGAAAGCCCATATTTTCAGGGGCAGACACCAGATCTGGAGGCATATGTCCACCATCGGGGGACAACCACAGCTCTCACCCCAGCTCACCTCCATCCTGATGTCTGCTCAACTCTGCCCCTTCTCGTGACACTGAGGCCAGGCCTCCATCTTGAGGTCTCAGCTCGAATGTTGCCTCCTCAGTTGCCCCTGACCACCCAGCCTAGAAAGGCCCCCTGCCCAATTTCCCAACCCAGTCTCTATGCGCTTCTCTCGGCACCCTTGGTTTTTTTTTTAAAGATTTTATTTATTTATTTTTCCCCCAAAGCTCCAGCAGATAGTTGTCTGTCATAGCTGCACATCCTTCTAGTTGCCGTATGTGGGACGCGGCCTCAGCATGGCCAGAGGAGCGGTGCGTCGGTGCGCACCCGGGATCCGAACCCGGGCCACCGGCAGCACAGCGCGCGCACTTAACCGCCAAGCCACGGGGCCGGCCCTCGGCACCCTTGGTTTTATCTGTCTCCCACTCCCCGAGAGAATTACAGAGCAGGACCTTCTCCCCCTAGTTCCTGGGGTCCCGAAGGCTTGATCCAGAGCAGGTGCCCAGTAAATAATTGCCAAGTGACTGAAGGAACGTACAGTGCCAGCAGCCTGCCATGCCCGGAGCATCCCAGCCAGACTCTGCAGTCCAAGATCTATCCCAGTCACCTTCTAGCCTCTACTCCTATTGCACCCCATGCTCATTGCCTCACTGTCCCGCTCACTGCTCACAGAACATCCTGTCTGCCTCCAAACTTTTGCCCATCAGAACCCCCCACCTGGAACACGCTCTTCTCCAACTCCTATGTGGCCTCTATGGCCCAGCTCAAAATGCCATGTATTCCTCAGAACCTTCTCTGGTTCTTCCAATCAGAAGCAGCCTCTCCAATCTCTGGACCCCAGTGGACAAATCCCTGGGGGAGGGGAGGATTGCATTATCATTAACAAACAATTGTCTTCTGATTAGATTCTCCAATTTCTAAACACTGACTACCCTCTTACAACTGAGGCCATCTGGGCCAACCCCAGCCTGCCCCAGCTCTTACCATGGCCACAGCCAGGCCAATCATTGTGATGATCCCGAAGGACAGAAGCATTGTGCCCACACCAGCCGAGCCACCAGCCACATCAGGGATTCTGGTGTCATTAAAGCTGGTGGCTTCTGGGCTGAGGGTGGTGGTCTCAGAGGCTGGCCCATCTGTGGCAGGCTCCAGGTCAGGCTTCGAGGTGGGTGGGCAGCTGCTGAACCAGCCCCTAGCAGATGGAATCCTGGAGTTCATGCTGCTGCTGAGAGGGCCCTGGCTGAGAGACTGTCTGTGGTCAGTCAACCTGCCCAGTCCCTTCTGACATCAGGAGTGTTCGAGCCTGTGGCCCCTGCTACCCATGCAGGTGGCCAGCTCCTTGGATAAAGGGAACTCCCTGCGTCCCTGGGTGCTGGAAAGGAAAGAATAAAAAACATGAAGCTGAAGATGGGACTTGGTGGTGAGATGACGTCCCCCTAAGTTCTGAAGGAACTCAGGAAATAAAAGTTCGAGGGCAAGGGTAAGTTCAGGGGAAATCAGTACATGTGCTTTATATATCCATGGTTCCCATGTGGATTTAGGAACACGAAAATGAAGCCCTGCTCCCTCTTTGTGGGTAAGATGATCATACTGAACACGCTTGGAAGATATGAAGGCAGTGGGGAGGTTTGAAAGAAAAAGTCTCTCCCTTGTGTAATACCCCACCCTCACCCCCTACTCCCCACACTCCCCCCGCCTCCCCACTCCCTGCCTCCCACAGCCCTCACCTCCTGCTTGGAGGAAAAATATTGCAGCTTTTTCCTTTCCCGGAGGGAAACACTTGCCCAAGAGTCAGACAGGCCTGTCTTTGAATTCCAGCTCAGCCACTTAACTAGATAACCCTAGGCAAGTCTCTCCACCTGTGTGTCTCAGTTCTCCTGAGTCCAAGGTGGGAATATTAAGAATGCCTCTCTCACAGGGTCATAGGGTCACTGAAATGTCAGGATGAACAAGTTCCTAGAAAAGACTTAGCTCAGCACAGCCCCCACCCGCAGTAAGTATCCAATAAATGTCAGATCTTCCCCCCTGGCCAACCCAGTTGGGAAAGGGGGAGCCACACAAGCCCCTGGACACAGCCCGCTGTGTGGTCCAGGCTGTGCTTGGAGTGGGGGTGGGGACAGGTGTGGAGAGACCAGAAGACAGGAAGGAGAGAGAGGCTAAAGTCAGGTCCTCTGGCAAGGCTTCTCTGCAGGCTCTTGGGGTCATTCGACCCCCTATAGGAGAGCTAGGGGCTGCCAGGGACAAGAAGAAAAGAAAGAGGAGCATATCTTCCGAGGCAGGGATGGAGTTCTCACTCTGAGGTGCTTCTCCTCCCCTTCCCTCCTCCCTGGGGAGCAGAGTGTGGGAGATGTGCCCAGCCCAGGGTGTGTCTTAGGCCTCCCCAGGCCAGAGGGCCCTGGGTAAGGCAGGATGGGAAGGCGTCCCAGCCAAACTGCAGAAGGACAGCTCGCTCCTAGGGAGAGGAGGGATACACAGCTCATGCTGCACCCATACCTCCCTGCGCTAGTTCATGGGTATATGTGGGGTGCCTCCCTGTGCAGGTGCATGGGGGTGTGTGAGGTGTGCACACACCCGTGACAGCCCCTTAGGAAGGGGCAAGGCTGGCGGAAGGACATGGGATGGGAGAGCCTCATCCCTCTCTGCCCTCTCCCTCCAGCTAGTCTGGGAACGTCAGGAGTCCCAGGTTCTTTCTTGGCTCTGCCACTGACCCCAGGTGTGACCTTGGGCCAGCCCCTTAACTCTTGCTCTGGGGCTCTGTTTACTCCTCCGTCCGAAGGAGAGAAAAGGCCCTGCTCATCACCGTACGGGACTGTCTCAGCGTTCAAAGAGCAAGAGAAGGAAACCGTGGTGAAAGGGGTCGGCACGACCTCCGAGAACCCGCATACCGTTCTCCACCGGGTTCCTCAGTCCTCCCTGCCCCAATCCCCATCCCGCCTCCGCGACTCGGTGATGTCTCCATTCTTGCACCGAAGCGGCGACCTCAGCACTTACTTAATCCTCTCTGGGGTGTGGAGCTCAGCCGGAGAGGTTAGGGGTGGTGGTGACGAGCAGGAGGCTGGGGCCAGGGGTAATCCCCAGGCCCCAGGATGGGGGGCGGTGTGTCCAACCAGAGGACCTCCCTCCCTCTACGCTCCGAGCCGCGGGCTCCGCCTCGCTACGGCGCACCGCCCACAGCCGCGAGCGCCCGCTCTGCCAGCCTGGGCCGAGACAGGCAGGGCCGGGACCCACCGCGGGGGTGGCGCGGACGAGAGCAGCCCCGCGGGTACGTGATGCTCCAGCACCTCTCCTCCTGTCCCTGGCTCCGCGCCCCCGGCCCCCGATAGGTTGCCAGGCCCAGAACCCGCCCGGCATTGGCCCGCTCGCCTGTCGCTCGGATCTGGTCCCGCCCCCAGGAGGAGCCGGGACCCGGGTCGCGGTTCTTGGCGACCACCCCTCACTCCCCTCGGCCTATGCCGGAGTAGGGCGGGGGACCGTGGGTGACCAGCCCCTTCCTAGGCAGAACTCAGCCCCCGGCCTGCCCCGGATCCACCTCCGCCAGGACGTACTCGCGCTCCCATACAGCAGGCGGACGCAGGAGACTTGGGGAGAGCACTGGACTGGGAGTCCTCGGGCCTGCGTTGAACCCTGGCTCTACCCTCTACTGGCTTTGTGACCTAGAGCAAGATGCGTTCCCTCCCTGGGTCTCGGCTTCCTGCTCAGATGGGCTCTGGTGTGAGGGCTCTTGGTAAATGACACCAACCCTGGGGTAGAAATGGGGCATCTTCAGAGAAGTTGGTATCGGGATGGTGTTATTATTGGAGTGGTATTATTGGGCACCCCAACTCAGGCAAGCCTACATCCAGGGCGCGATCATCTCAGGGAAGGGGCCTTCAGATACCTTCTAATCCTCGGGTTTTCAGAGGAGCTTATGGGGATCACCGGAGTAGATTGTTACAGACACAGATCCCCGCGGGTCCTCGGGTCTGGGATGGAGTCGGGACAACTGCATGTTTAATAGTAGTTTAGTTATCCGTGATCGTTAACAATAGATTCTAGGGGGAGTGGGCGTTGGCAGGCCACACTTTGCAGGATACTGTCATGAATTTTATGGAAGGAGCAACTGAGGCCCATCGAGGGCCGGGCACCTGGACAAAGCCTCGCGACGTGTTGGCAACAGAATCAGGATGCAGACCCTAGTCTCCTACGCCCGGTTTCAAGCTCCCTGCTCCAAACTCTAAAACCGAAGCTAGAGGGTCAAGAGCCACCCATGGTCCAGTCGCCACCTGGCCACTCCTGAGTAGCTCAGGCCTCTTCCTCCGCCAGGTCCTGGACACTGGGTCCCGCCCCTAAAATTGGTACCTGCCCCCAACGCTGGGACCCGCCCACGTGCAGCTCTACCAGCCCACGGGCACTGCTAGACCACGTCCCTGGACGTTGCGCGCCAATTGTCGAACCCAGGGCCGGCTGGTGACATGTCTCTGTTCGGGCTGGTTACACAGCGCCCCTGCTGGGTACACAAACGCCAGCTCGGAGCAGTCACCGCGGGCTGGTGCCATATCCCTTCCATGACCTTCAAGAAGACTAGCCAGCCCAGGCCCCCAGGAAGCAACCACACACATCCACGCACTTTCCCGCCCGTGGGCCTGCGGGCGTGGTGGGCGTGGCGTTCACAGCCTCCACTACTGCTCGCCGAGGCCTCCTGAGTGGAACCCAGTGGTCCTAGGAAACCTGGAGCAGGGCGACGGGGTCTGCCCGAGCCCTTTCTCAGCTGCGCCGACCCCGGAAGTAGGGGGGTGGAGGGAGCTCTCCGCCGGCCCACGCACGTCCGGGAGCCGAGATCCCGGCCGTTTCTCCAGGCCCGAGGACGGGTGAGGTAGCTTTCAGGCAAGTATTCGCTGCAGGTGGGGATTGGGACGGGGACGCCTGGACCGCAACACCCTCGGGAGCCCCCATATCCCCCGAGGTACAGATGGGGAGACAGGCTTGGGGAGAGGCGACGTCGCCTGGTTCATTCGGGAAGCCGGGCGGAACTGAGAGGGAAGCTGGGCCCTTGGCTTAAGGCCTCGGCTCTTCCTGGGGCAGCGCTCAGGTGGACAGAGCCGCCTCTGGAGTCTGGAGGACCTGGGTTTGTGTCTTGCCTAGGACAGTTTCTAGCTGGGTGACTTTGGGCAAGTCGCTTCCCATCTCGGAGCCTCCCTTCACTCCCTGCTTGTCTCTGAAGATGTGGCACCTAGCAGGTCTTCAATAAACGCTAGTTTGGACCTTGGCCAGTGTGAAAGGAAAAGGGACCACTGATTTTAAATCTTCAGTTAAACTTGTTTGTGATAACTTAAATATAAAGTTAACAAATACTGTAAATTTTTTAGCTGGCAATTTACGCTGATATTTAGGATTATGGGTTAAATTGGGGAGATGGAGTTTCAGCATACAAATCAATGACAGTACATGCAAAATATCAACAGCAAAACTCCCCAGCAAAGGCAGTCTCCTCCCCCTTGAATTATTAGTTAAGAGCATACAACATTGAGTCCCTCCTGTGGGCTGAGCTGGCTCCCAGGCCCTTGACATTCATTGACTAACGCACTGCTCACCGTGGAGTTGATGTTATTTTCGCCATTTTATGGATGATGAAACTGAAACTTGGAAATAATGACTTTCCAAAGGTTACACACATCTGTCCAGCCCCCCAAGTTTGGGCCTTGACCCACCACCAGTCCATTTATTAGCAGGGACTGAGCTATGTGTTCAGCCCACTTCAGCCAAAGATGTGAAGAAAACATTACTGGCCAAGAGAAGAAGAATCAAATAGGTGGCTGAGGGTCTAAAATGGAATCAAGGAGGTGACAGGGCAAGAGCATGCCCTCTCTCAGGCAGCAGGTCAGAGGGGAGTGGGTCACATGAGACTCAGCTGCTCTCCTGGTTCTCCTTCCCCCTTCCAGGGTGGCGGCCACATCTGAGGACCAGAGCCACTTTGAGGAATGAAGGCCTGTGACTTCCACTGGTCCAGCTGGGGCCAGTGACCATCATCAGCATCTGATATTACCAGGAAGGCTTGGGGACCTGGGAGTGCTCAGGGGAGCCTTCTGCTGAGACATGGAACTTTGGGGCCAAATGCTGCGGGCCCTTGTATCTGGCCTGGGGAGGAGAGGAGGCACTCAGGTCTGGGCCTTCAGCTCATGGCAAACCCATCTGCCTCTGGCTGGGTTGTTGAGTGCCACAGAGGTGGTCAGCTACTGGACGGCAGTCTTTGAGAAGAGGGGCATCCCTGAGGCCCGGGCCTCCAGTGAGTACATCGTGGCTCATGTTCTTGGAGCCAAAACAGTTAAGTGCAGTGTTGTCAAGAGGGTAGGAAGAAGGGGGAGACAGCACCCTGGGGAAGAGACAGTCAGGCTTTTCCACTCCACTGAGAGTGCTGAGCTGAGAGTGATGGGATTTTTCTGAAGGAATGTCTTAGGCGGATACTTATTCATCCAACAAACTGTTACAGTGTGTGTCAGACATTCAGGGTTCAGGGATGACCAGGAGTGGCCAGTGTTGGGCCCACAGGCATTGTCCACATAAGAAACCTAGGTCAGGGCTCCTGGGTCAGGGGGACCAGCCACTCACATTCTCTGTGGGGCAGTTTCAGAGCCTGAGGCCAGTACTTTGGACCCAGCCCCTGACCCCTTGGCAGCTACAGCACGTCAAGGAGCTAAGTAGCCGCCGATTGCGAAGGTGAGCATCCATGGGCCAGACCTGAGGGTTCCGTGTCGGGAGCAGGGATCTAGCTTCCCCCAGCCCCACCAAATTCATGGTCAGGGAGAAGGAAAGTGTCCAAGGACTAGGGAGGTGTTGGGATGAGAGAGTGAAGAGAGGAGTGTCAGGGTAGTAGATAGGGAGGAGGGAAGGTGGGAGGGAGGACCTTGGCTAGGAGTCCCAGGGCACAGGAGACATGACCCTACCTGACACTATTGTCCACAAGTGGTGTCCCTCAACCCAAGCATGGTCCTGTTGGTCCAGGCTCTGGCACTGATGATCACCCAGCTGCCTCTTCTGTAGGATGCCTGTGCAGTACATCCTTGGTGAGTGGGACTTTCAGGGCCTCAATCTGAAGATGGCGCCCCCAGTGTTCATCCCTCGGCCAGAAACAGAGGTAGGTGTGCCACCAGGACAGGGCACCTGTCTTGCCCTAGGCTTCCTCCAGGGGGCACTGGGGCCCCATGACTGCTAATTTTAGAGGCAGTACCCTTCCATACCGGTGTTTCCTGGCTGGCTGGGTAGGTATGGCCAAGAGGACAGAGGTCTCCTGCTGGCCTCCTTGATTCTCCTTACATCCCAAGCCACTGCTGGAGCCCCCAGGGCTGGCAGTGGCTCAGGGTACCCCAACTAATGCTGCCCACCAGATGCTCTGTTCCTGTCATTTCCCTAGGAGCTGTCCTATGGGCCCATGGCCTACCTAACCCACGGGAAACAAACGCCCTTCTTCTCCTCAGGAGGCCTGGGCACAGTGGAGAGGCCTCCAGCTGGATTTCTGGAAGCTTGGTACAGCTATGTGACCTCGGGCAGGTCACTGCCCCTTCTGATCCCAGATGATGAGAGGGTTGGGCCTCCAGATCAGGGAATCTGTGACTTGTTGGTCCTTTTAGATCCACTATCTGGTCAAGTAATCGGCTGTGTCCCACACATTACTAGGACTGGGGAGTGTGTGGTCCCAGAATGCTGTCTCTTGGTGAGGCACCCTAATCCTGGGAGAGTGCTTTCTGTGGCCCTTCTGGGCTTCCCCCTGACCTTGTAGGTGGCAGAGCTAGGAACCAGAGAGAGCAGAGCAGGTGGATGGGGCTGAGTGGGGGCCAGTGGGCAAGCCAGGTTCTAAGAAGGGGTGTTTCTAGAAAGGCACCCAGGCACGCAGACATTCCTGGGAAAGACCAGGCCTCCGTCTGCCTCAGACGGGGACACAGAGCCCTTCCTCACTTTCCAGCCAATAAACCCTCAGACCCCACTTGCCCCCACATCATGCGTTGGGAGGCCAGGTCCTCATCTCACTGCCCTGTGTCAGGGCAGGGACAGTAGAGAATCTGAGACCTTGCTGAAGTCACAAGGGTGCCAAGGGAGGAGCATGGGGGCAGCACTTGGACATCCTGACTCCCAGGTCAAGGCCGCATACCTCACATGGGGCTGCCCCATCTGGGATTGGATGAGCTGGGATGGGGTGCAGAGACTCAGAGAAGGATGTGGCCTGTCACTTGCAGACTTTTGGGAGGCCATCCTGTGGCTCCCCCAAGCATGCGACCTTTAGCCAGGAGGTCATTCACTATCCCCTGAGGCTGCCAAGGGGCAGGGCATGGGAGGGAAGCTACCGTGATGACCTTTGAGTCCCCTCAGAGCTGACCTGGCACCAGCGATGTGTTCCAGGGTTCTGAGTGTTGGGTGAGGACTTCTGGCTCCCATGCACCACCTGCCCCCCCACCCTTTACTGGGTGGGTCTGGGCCAAGAAAGCAGCGCTGCTGCAAGGTGTGGGGAGAGGGGAGGAGGGAGGCTGTGGTTGGGAGGCCGGGTCCTCGCCTCACTGTACAGACATTTCTCAGAACTTGCCAGGTTCGCCCCAAATTTGTGAAGCCGCATTGGGGGGTATCTTACTGAGAACTTGAAAGGATGTGGCCTGTGGCAGGGAGTGAGGAGAATGGGTGCAGGGGAGGGATTGTAGTGCCTGCATTCTCTCTATCCATTGAAGGGCGGTTTCTGATGATGGGTGCTGACGTCTGAAATGCAAAGTTGTAGGTGCCATGTGGCCTGACAAGTTGGGTTTTCCCTGGGGCTGTGAAGGTGGCTCCGTCCCCGGCCTGGCAGTGTGTACAGTGGGAAACCCAAGGCTGGGAGTGTGAGCTGTTCCCACCAGCCTGGTGAGGTGAGGCTCTGTGGGGTGTGGAAGACAAAGTGGCTTGTCTGTGATTGGATTGAGGGAGGCAATGCCATCTTCCTGGGGCTGCCCTACCAGGGATGTGGTCATAATGGAGGGTGCTTGTGGCGCCCAGGTCCTGCTGAGGCCTTGGGCCAATCTCTTGAGGGGTTATGGAGTCCTGTTGAGGCAGTGGCTCTAGGCAGAGCCAACAGCCACCTGCTCCCTGCCTCCTTCCCACATGCCCCTCCACCCCCACCACACTATGTTCTTGGATTCTTCCCTTGTTCACCTGGAAAAGGCGCCCTGGACCTGTGACCAGCTTGGTTTTCAGCCTTCTCAAAGGAGCCTCCAGCTTTAGGCTGAGGGAGGCCCTTCACTGGGTGAGGAAGAGAGTGTTTCTGGACTTCTTGGGGATGGTCTTCACCCCTACCCCCCAGGTGGTCCCACAACCAAGATGATCCTCCCATGGTCCCACGGTCACCTCCCGTGGTGAGTGTAAGGGAGAGGCTAGGGGGCACTGGTGGTGGAGGGGACCCAGTCTCTCACCTTCACACCCTGCCCAAGGTGGCCATTCACGTATGTGGTGTGTATCTCTGAGGTTGAGGGTGTCTCTGTGAGGTGGCTGGTCAGTGTGGCTGGCTGAGGGGTCATTATCCAGCCAGAGTAGGTCTGTCTGTGGCCCAGAAACCAAGAGAAGCTCACACCCCTGACAAGTCTCAGCTATCCCACTGGCTGCTCAGTACGTGGTCTCACCACTGAGACCACAGGCTCTTGGCCATAGCCCTAGACTACTCACTCTGTGCCAGTCCCAGCGCTGTGGGCCCAGCTTCCTGTCAGCACCCCAACAGTCTCCAGTAGTGCCTGGAAGCGAGTGAGGTGAAACCCTCTCCTGCTGAAGCCAGGCTCCCTCCCCACTAGGCAGTAGTTTGTCTGGTGAGGAAGGGGCTTGGAACAGGAAGGGTTGGACCTGCTGGCCAAGTTCTACCTATCTTGGACTTGGTACCCTGGGAACAGGTGAGTTTTGCTCCTGGGATTGTGAGAGCCTGGAAGGATGAAGTGCTTTTTGGGACTCAGCACTGAGAAGCTTATGTGGAAAGTGGATCCGAGTGATCTGGAGCTCTCTGCTCCATTGGGGCCTGACTGTTGATATTTGGAGTTTGGGGTACCTGGAGGTCTGAGACTTAGAGGGTAGCTTCCCGCGGCTGCTGAAAGCTTGCCCAGCACTTGGGAAGTAGCCAAGAGGCCCCTCTGTGAGCTAAGCCCTCGCTGTGGGACACACCGCGATGGGTTACATCCCTGGTCTTCCCATCATGGAGCCTTCAGTCTGGTAGGAGAGGCAAACACCATCCTAGACCTTAGGCTCCCAGTGAGGAAAGCCATGGTAGAGAGAGCCTGGTGGGGGGTTGAGGAAGGCTTTCTGGAGGAGGTGGACCTCTTTTCACATGAGGGAAGCACCCACTTGCTGACGCCTCCCCCCATTCCCTGAGCCAGCCCTGCCTGGGACCCCAGGAGTCTTCAGCCTCTTGGGCGGCCTCTCCTGCCCTCATCCAAAGGGATGCCTTTCAGAAGGGGCTACACTGCCCTTTCCCTGCTCTGTATCTGGCTCCTTGGACCCCCACTCACTGCTGGTTAGAAACATTTTGACCATTGGGCAGAAGCAGCCCTCCACCTTCACCTCCACCCTATATTGACTCCCATGCAGTCTCTGCAGGTAACAGATGAGTGGATGAGACTTGAAACCCTGTTGTTTACAAAGTGACAGTGTCTGAAAGTGTTCCCCTGCTACCAAGGTGGGTATGGTGCAATCAGGCACCTCCTATCACGCCATGTCCCTTACCCCATGCCCTGTGTGCACCATATCCCCCTTCAGACCTGGGGCTCAGGCAGGACTGTGTTCTCCCTTCCCCCCCGTGGAGGGGATTCCCTGTCCCTTTGGCCTAGGAGCCTCTCTGGGGGCCTCCTAAGCTCAGCTCTGTGAAGAAGCTGGGAACACATGAGCCCCTGATTCTTGGCCACCATGAGGTGCAGGCCAGGCTTCAGGTGGCACCTTGACCCCTGGGCCTCAGTTTCCTCGTGGACTGGTTGTGAGGATCCGACAGATTAATACAGGGAAAGTTCTGGAAGCAGAGCTAGGTACAGAGGGAGTGGCCAGGAACCATCACATAGGGTTTTTAGCATTGCTGCAAGCACAAAACAGAAGGATATCTGTAAAGGGCTTAGCTGGGGTTTATTGAACACTTACCGTGTACTGGGCATGGGATCAGTGCTTCACGAATGTGGTTCTGATTAATCCCCATCACCTCCCAATGAGGTGGATTATCCTCAACTGTGCTCAGGTTTACAGATGGGGAAACGGAGGCATGGGGAGACAGAGTGACCTGCCCATGGCCCCAGCTGACTTCAAGTTCAGTCTGGCTTTAGCCAGCCGGCCATTCTACATTGACACAGGAGCTATCTGTGCTTAGGCCTCTGTGCCAAGACCTCCAGGGGCCGAGTCGACACTAACTCTGATCCAGACCCCTCTACCTCCCAGGAGCTGGTTGAATGGGTGCTAGAGGAGGTGACCCAGAGGTCCCATGTGGTGGGAGCCCGAGGTGGCCCCCTCATCTTGGAGGTGGGCTGCGGATCAGGAGCTGTCTCCCTCAGCCTGCTGAGCCAGATCCCCCAGGTGAGCCCCCTCTGCATCCCTCCACCCCGCCCTGGGTAGACTGTGACTGGCACTTACTGTCCCTCCTGCTGATCCCTTCCCCACCCGTCTCTGCTAGAAGCACTTGAGGGGGGCCGGCCCCGTGGCTTAGCGGTTAAGTGCGCGCGCTCCGCTGCTGGCGGCCCGGGTTCGGATCCTGGGCGCGCACCGACGCACCGCTTCTCCTGCCATGCTGAGGCCGCGTCCCACATACAGCAACTGGAAGGATGTGCAGCTATGACATACAACTATCTACTGGGGCTTTGGGGGGAAAAAATAAATAAATAAAATCTTTAAAAAAAAAAAAAAGAAGCACTTGAGGGGAAGTGACTGGAAATAGGAGGACAGGGCAGAAGCACTTGAGGGGAAGTGACTGGAAATAGGAGGACAGGGCAGAAGCACTTGAGGGGAAGTGACTGGAAATAGGAGGACAGGGCTGCCCCCAGCCCACCGTGGTCATAGCCTCTAACTCCCATCCCCTTCTATCTGGCCAGGTCCTGGCCACAGAGAGGGAAAAGCTATTGGATATTTCCCTCCTCTTCAGGTAGGAGTTGGAGGAGGGCTCTGGTCCCTAGGCCTGGCCTCTCCTGTCACCCTGCCTTTCATGTACCCTTGGTTTGTTCTTGGGGCAGAGCCGAGTCATTGCTGTGGATAAGGGAGAAGCAGCCATCTGCCTGACCCATGAGAATGCTCAGAGGTAGGCGGGCTGGGGGGATCAGAGGGTCAGGGTGGGGGGAGTCGGACTTTGGTGCCTGATCAACCCTATCCCGGTGTCAAAGCCACCAAGAAGGGGGAGCTATTGGGGGCAGCCTGATGTGGGTCCCACAGGTTTACGAATGAACGCTGAGTACCAGGTATCTTTCTGGTCCAAGAAGGGTTTATTCTCCCAGTCCTTGTAGCCAAGGGTAAGAGTCTGCCCCCCATGCTCACCTTTACCTTCCCATCTCTCCAGGCTTCAGTTGCAAGACAGGATTCGGATCATCCCCCTCGATGTGACCTTAGGTACCTACCCCACCCATCTTCCCTGGGGTGGGGATCCTGGGTACAGGTGCTGCTGGGTGGATGAAGCACTCTGCAGAGATGGAGAGGGGCCTCCCCAGCATGTGTTCACACACACACACACACACACACACACACAAGGGATATCTCAGGCCAATCCTTGGTGAAGACAGGCAAGTCCCTGTTGCCTCCTGGGTTGACCTGACCCATGAGGGGCCAGCCACAGAGTCTTTCTTACCTTCTGAATGCCCCGTAACTAAGGAGTTTAACTAGGGCTTGCTTGTTGTCAAGAGAGAAGCAGAAGCTCAAGAAAGAGAAAGCCTCTAGGACCAAAATACTTGAGTACCGTCCCTGCCCCCCCCGGCCCAGGCACGGCACGGCTTGGCCATGGCCCTTACAGAGTATCCTCAGCGTTCTGGCTCCAGTTCTGGCTCTATTATGTACCCACATACATAATAGCCTCATGTGTCCCCTCCATGGAGTGTGATACATGTGGTATAGCACTTTGCACAGGGTGGGACTGGTAAATAGCCACCAGAAATCGACTGACTGAAGCCAGGCCTGCCTTCCGTGCACTCAGTCCATGTTGGCTGTGAGGCAGAGTGTGGCAAGGCCAGTGGGGCTGCAGAGGACAGAGGCTCTTGCTTAGGCCAGGCAATCAAGAGGGCTTTCTAAAGGTGACACTTGAGCTGAGTCTTGCTTATTGAGGAGGATTTTGACAGGAAGAAGAGAAGGCAGAGACATTCCAGGTGAAGAGCTGCTGTGTCAGAGCATACATACTCCCAGCTAGACGGCTGGCTGGGGACCCTGGGCACTAGTCTGCAAGTCTGGCTTATCAGGTCCAGACAGACCCACGGTGTAGCTTGGGGGGAGGGACTACCCAAGAGAAATGATGGCAGGTGAGCTACCTCCCATTCACTGCTGTGTTCCCTTTGCCCACAGAGGGGAGCTGGGCACACCTTCTGCCCTGGGGTCCCATGGACTTGGTTGTCAGCAACCCTCCCTACATCTTCCACCAGGACATGGAGCAGCTGGCCCCTGAGATCCGCAGGTGCAGAGTGGCATGGGACAGGGAGACCAGGCCTGAGAAGGCCTAGTGGGATGGGTCTGCCCTGGAGGACCACACCATCGAGAGGGACAGGAAGGGTGGGGGCGCTGAAAAGGGCAGTGGTGTTGAGAGAGGCTCACTCCAGAGCCCACAGACCTCCTTGGGTTCAGCTTCTGCCTTCCCATGTAAGCCCACTAGACTACCACTGGACCTCTCTGAGCCTCGTTTCCTGCCTCCGAAAAGAGAGTGATAGAGGTTTGCAGGGCCGTGGGGAAGACTCAGTGATGACTGAAATATCAGACACAGTTCAGAATACATAGAAGGTGCTCAGATGGGTGCATCATTTTACAGAAGACTGAGGCCCAGAGAGGGAAGGTGCCTTGTCCAAGGTCATGTGGGGGCTTAGCAGGAAAGCTGGGACTAAGGCCCTACTCGAGGCTTTGCACTGAGCCATCCTGCTCCCAAACAGGCTGAGAGCCAGGGGTAGCCCAGGAGCCCCTGGATGAGGCAGCGGTAGTATGGGTCAGGGTACTGGCTCACATTTTCTGTGCTCTCAGGAGTATCAGGGCCAGCTCCAGGCCTCCCCAGACCAAGAATAGGAACAGCCTGGTTGTGGGGAGACCCTCATGCCCTGGGGACTTAGTCAATGAGATTCACCGAGTGTGCCCAGCCCCTCCTGGTGAGGTGCTGCCTGCAGGAGGTTGGGGAATCGGAGCTGCCATCATTAGAGGGCCCCCTCCTCTGGGTCCTCAGACTTTCCTCTCAGGCTAGAGTGTAAGTTCCATGGGACTCCCTTCGTGGATGGCCCTGCTCAGCTCTTTCATACTTTTCAGGCACCCCCTATCCAGTCGCTCACCTCTCACTTGTTTTCCCCTTCAGCTATGAAGACCCAGCAGCCCTGGACGGTGGGGAGGAGGGCATGGACGTCATCACCCACGTCCTGGCCCTGGCACCTTGGCTCCTAAAGGACTCTGGGTATGGATGGCGTGGGTCTCCTGGGTCTGTCCTCAGCAGCCTCCTCCCCTCCCAGTGTGTACTGGGCCTGCCCTGGCAGTCATTCTGTCCCCACCCCTCCCAGCCTGGGCAACCCAGAAGTCCAGGTCCCAGCACTACCTCTAAGCTGACCCATTTCTCTCCAATGTAGAAGCATCTTCTTAGAAGTGGACCCAAGACACCCAGAGCTCGTTGGTAGCTGGCTTCAGAGCAGGCCTGACCTGTCCCTCCATCTCGTGGCTGTGCGCAGGGACTTCTGTGGGAGGTGAGGCTCTACCCACCCCCCGTCCCCCACAGCCACACTGGTGCTTCCACTCAGGCCATCCACAGCTCCGGCTGTGGGGAGAGGGTGCTATTCCCACTTTCTGCTTATTCCCCAGGGCCCAGGTAGTGACTGGCCCCTTGTCCCTGTCTCCCTAGGCCCCGGTTCCTGCACATCCGGAGGTCTGGGCTACAGCCTGGCTGCCCCACAGACACCTGGCCAGGGCACTAGCCTGCCAGAGTGCCTGGCTGACACTTCTTCCTGGAATGCTACTTGGAAGGAGGTGGATGGCACCTTCCAGAACCCCAGATCCTTGTGGCATTCTCCATGGCTCTGTGATTCCCCATGCTCTTCATTTCTAGGAGACTTAGGGGTAGAAGCAAGGGTGAGGGTGTCCTTTCTGGGGTGGCAAAGAGCCAGGGCATCCATAGTTCGGCTCAGGAGCTGAGCAGACCCAGGTTCCCAGTCTGGCCTCATCACATGATGGCCAAGAGCAGGTTGCCCAGTGTCTCTGTGGGTGGAATTGCTCTGAGGACGTTGGGAGATATGGCCAATAAAGTGTCAAGAGACCGACAAGTAGTGACCTAATGTTTTGTTACCATGATTTCTGGGTCCCCTGACCCCTTGCCCCCAGGCAGTGCTGGGAGTAAGAGCTTCCTCCTGCCCCAGTAGGGCTGGCCACCAATCCCGCATGTGGTGGGGACATGGGAGAGCAGTGTGGAGGAAAGAATGTGGGTGCTCCTCCTGGCCTTGGATGCCGGGGGCTGGCACTGAGCAGCTTATTCTAAGGGTTGTCTTAGCCCCCCACTGCCCTGGAGGCGCTCCCACCACTTCTCTGACTGCGGCTGGGCTCTGAGCACAGGAACCTCATCTGAGCTTCAGCTCAGGGATGGTTACCTGCTTCGTAGATGGTCAGGGCTAAGCGTCCTTGCTGCACAGTTCTGGGGTTACGTGTCCACATTCATGTAACTGAAGGCTTGAGCCAGTGAGAGGTGAGCAGGGCTTGTGTTTAATTTTTATTCCTGTAGCTTTTAGCTAAAACATCCCTTCCAAGTTGACTTGGAGTTTCAGATTACTCATCTGTCCCTGGTTGTGGCTGGGGAGAGTGATTAGCTGAGATAGTGACCAGGTTGTGACCTCCACTCCAGCTCTAGTGTGTGCAGACTTGTGGCCACCAGGAGGCCTGAAGGCTCAGCCCTTCTGTCCATAGGGACAGGAAACCTCCAGGTTGGCCGGGTGCTGATGTGAGCCTGCATCAGGGTGAGTCCTGAGGAACACAGCACACCGCCAGACTCCCCCACCCCCACCCCCAGCACTTTCAAGGGCCTGACCTGGTAGTGCAGTGGCCGGAGGCAGTGTGGTCTGCTGGGCAGCAACTTCTGCTGGAGCCAGGATGCTGGGTTCCAGGGCTGTGTCTTGCAGTAAGACCTAAGGCAGCTCCTTTTCCTGCGAGAAGCTGGTTCTTCTGGCTTGAAGGCCAGTGCAAGGTGGCAGCCTCATTTTACTCTCAGTCAGCCAGGTGGAGCTGACATCTGAGTGCCCACTCCCCAGGCAGGGACTCCCCAAGAGATGTGGCCTACTTGAGGTCCCATGGGGGGAGGTGGCCAAGTGGAGATGGAAGTTAGGTCCCTGCCTTTGAGGAGTCTGTATTGCTGGGGTCATACCTGGCCTGAGTGACTCTTCCACTGTGGCTAGGGGTTGCATTTGCCAGAGCAGAGGCCACACTGCAGCTCCCAGAGCCCCAGTATCTTGCCCCTTGCCAGCCCCAGCTGCACGGACCCCAAGCTGCCCCTGGCTTCCTTTGAGGAGGAGGAGCCAGGGCCTCTCCCTCATGGCTGCTCCAGAAGAAACCTGGGAAGGTGACGTGAGGCACAGCCAGAGCAAGGCTCCTGGCTTTCTGAGCCCCACCTGTGCTCTCAGACCTTGGCCTGCCTAGGGCCTCACCCTATTGACCTTCCTCTTCTCTGCCTGTGCCCTTTGGCTCTTGCTGTTTTTGGCAGCATCCAGGGCAGCTGCCCTGACCTCCTCGCAGTCTGTTACCCCCTTGTCCCACAGCCTGGGCCACACCTCAGCCAGTGCTGGCTTCCCTGATGGTCTGACCCTCCTCGCCGCGGGCCCATTGTGAGGAAAGGCCTTAGTGAGCATGTGGGTATGGCACCCCAAGAGAGCATAATGATGGAGAGTGACAGGCTAGGGGCAGCTGGAGTCACTGAAGCAGGAGCCGTGCTTGGGGACAACTTCCTTCCCAGAAAACCGTGAGGCTTTATGTCCCTGAGAAAGAGGTCCGGGCCAAGTGAACTGGCAGGGCAGGGCCTCAAGCCTGCAGCCACTCTCTTGATTGGGCCTTGGACGTTGAGCTCCAGTATTGGAGACACATCAGCCTGGGTGCAGATCCTGGCATCTGCCTTTCACCAGGATGTGACATTGGGCAGATGACTTCGCCTCCCTCAGCCTTGGCTTCCAAGCCTGGGAAATGGGACCAAGTGCTTTATCTTAATAGGATGATTGTGAGGAACCTGTGGGATGCACCTTTCATGGGGCACTATGAGTCTTTCCATTGCCCACCTTGGAGGGCAGATGCAGGGAGGGCCCTGTACCCTCATGCGTCTATCTGGTGCTCAGCACCAACACAAGGCAGACAGACACGGCAGTCTGGAAAGGAGGGAAGGCAGGAATTTCAGTCTTAAGCTCTTGATTTCTCTCTGCCCTCTGGAGATGGAGCCACCAAGAGACTGGTAGCCTGGCAGCCCAGATTTCCCCTCAGCCCCTCCTCTCCCTCTTCACCAGGGCGTGAGTGTCCTGAGGTCCAGGCCACATCAGCTAGTGGCTCCAGCCCAAGGAAAGCCAGGCTCACCTGCCCTATCTCCTCCCCCCTTCCTGGGGCCAGAGCCAGAGCCAGCTGCCTACTTTAGCAGTGTGTTGTGGAGCCCTGAAAGCAGAATGGCATGAAGACGTGGGGCTGATGGTGGAGTCCAGGCTCTGCAGGCCCCTGAGGTCTTGAGGAATGTACCTGCTGCCCACCCAGCCTCCTTGAGCCAGAGCCCTGAGCATGGACAGAGGGTGTAGGAGTCCCTGATCGAAGAACACTTCCATCCCCTCTCCCACAGTGGAGGAAACTGAGACTTTGCATTATAGTTGGATGCTTTTCTCAGCTGCCTGTGGGTTTCACCATGGGGACCATCTAGCTAGTTTATTGAAATGTGCTCCCCAAACCCTTTCTGCTCTCCCCCATCCCTACTTAGACCCTGGGCCATTAACTGCTCCCAATCCCTGCCCTAAACCCTTGGCTGGCTCCCCATGACCTGAGTGTGGTCTCTGTGTCCTGCAGAGTCCAGGTCTGAAGAGGTGGGGCAGGGTGGCTATGGGAAAGGCCCTGGGGATTCCTCCCAAGGCCCCATCAGTGCTCTGAGTAAGCCTCCATCAGAACAAAGCATTCCACTGCTGACTGGCTTTGAGAACTTCAATCTCTGTAGGCCAGCACATTCTTCCCCATCCACCTTTGGATTCTTTTCTCCACTGCTGTACACTCCAGCCTCCCTGTAAAACTCTCCATTCCCTAAACACACTTCCCTCCCTTTGCCCAGCTAGTGTATCCATCAAGAATGCCTTTGTCCACCACTGCTAGTCCAAATCATCCTGTCCTTCAAGCTCCAATACAAATGCTGCCCCCTCTGGAACACCAGAGGGGTGTTATGCTATGTTCTTGCCAGCCTCTAGCCCATACTTCAGCCAGCACCAGTGATGTCCTACCCCATGCATTTGGAAACCTTGTCTTTCTCATCTCTCTAGGGCTCCATGTAGGTCTGGCATATCTCAAGCTCAGTAAATGTCCGCCAATAAGCCAACAGTGTGTGCATTTTCTAGAATGGAGCTGGAACTTCCCATGTGGGTCACATTTGACCTGACAGCAGCTCTTGCATTTTCCAGTCAGCAGGGAGAGGAAGCCACGAGGGGCTGGCCTCCCACCCGAGCCAGGCAGCTGTTCGAGTTGAGCCATGGCCCCTTTAGGCTCAAGTGCACCTGATCTCTGCACAGCGGCCGCGCCAGGAGTACAAGCTGTCCTTGGCGGCATCAGGGGCAGGCGCCTGTTTCCTGGAGCTCTGGGCCTCAGCCAGCCCCCAGGCAGAGTTGGCCAGAACAGTGGCCTGATCCCCCCTCATGACCCCTCAGGGCTGGATAAGCCCTCTGGATGGGGCTTGGGACTGGCAAAGCAACCCTACCCCTCCTGTGGTAGGCAGAATACTGGCCCCAAAGATACCCATGTCCTAATCCCCCAAACCTGTGAATGTGTTACCTTACATGGCAAAAAGAAGTTTGCAGATCTGATTAAGTTAAGGCCGTTGAGATGGAAAGATTATCCTAGATTATTCAGGTGGGCTCAGGGTAATCACAGGTGTCCTTGTAAGAGGGAAGCAGGAACATCAGAGTGAGAGAAGATGTGATAATGGAAGCAGAGGTCAAAATGATGCAGTTTGCTGGAGGAAGGGGCCATGAGCCAAGGACTGCAGACAGCCACTAGACACCGGAAGAGGCAAATAGAACCTCCCCTAGAGCCCCAAGAAAGAAAGCAGTCTTGCCAATACACTGATTTTAGCCCAGTAAAACTGATTTTGGATTTCAGACTTCCAAAACCATAAGATGATGAATTTGTGTTGTTTTAAGCCACTGAATTTGTGGTAATTTGTTAGAGCAGCAATAAAAAACTAATAAAGGCTTTGGTACCCAAAGTGAAGTGCTGCTGTAATAAATACCTAAAAATGGAAGTGGCTTTGGAACTGGAATTTGGAAATGGGCAGAAGCTGGAAGAATTTTGAGGTGCATGATAGATTGCCTTGAACACCTCTTCTTTGAGAGGTGATGTGGCTGGGGGTGGGGGGTAGGGAACCCTCCTCAACCTGAACTACCGAGGCCGCTTACCCACATGTCTAATATGTGGTAGAGCTGGCCCATTCTTGGAGCAAGAGGACTAGAAGGCTGCCCAGGGTGGGCCCCAGAGAGGCTCGCCTGGGCCCTGGGGGTGGGTGGGAATGGGACTGGGAGCAGGGGAGAGGGAGCAAGGCTGGCCTCCATGGCCCATCTCTAGTGGAGATCTTCAGAGAGGATCTCAGAGACTGCCTCCAAGACTGGCCCTGGTCCCCTTGAGTATGTGATGATGAACAGGGGCCCTGCACTCTCTGGGTTGCAGTTGCCACTTCTGTGAAATGAGCATGGCAACCCTTGACCTGAGCTGATGGACCTGACCCCTCCATGTGAGCTGTGGAGGGTTAGAGCTCCTTCCAGCCACCAAGCAGTGTCCAGTCCTGCTCTAGGCCTGGACTGGGCTGTGTCACCACCCTGTCCCTGGGATAGAATCAAGTTTTCCCTGGGATTCTCAGTCTCATGGTCCCCAAAGCTGAAGGGGCCAAATGGAGCCTGGGACACTGTCCCTGTCCAGGCTGGGACCAGGACCCCTTCCAGGTGAAGGATACTAAGGGGCTCTGGAGATGCCATCCCACCTCATCAATGCCTGGGGATCTTGAAGCCATTGTCCCAACTCAGGAGCCACATGCAGAGCTACTGGTTCAGTTTCCTCATCTGTAAAATGGGAGGGTTC